TCCTGTCTTGGCAAGGGAGGGAGCCCGTCTGCCCTCAGGGAGGGGGCCTGTCACAGTGCGGGCAGGAGCTGAATTAGGCTGTTAGGATCCTGGCCCGGTATGCTGGTCTCTCAGTGTGCTAAGACACCTTGAGTGCCCAGCTAATCATCTGAGATGAGATGGGGTTATTGCAGCTGAGGCACCAACAATCTTGGAGTGAGATACTGATATAGAGACAGGTGGAGAGGGAGAGACAGAGAAAGAAGAGGAGGGATGGGGGGAGGGAGGTGGTGGAGGGAGGAGGAAGGAGAAAGAAGAGGGAAAGAGGAGGAGAAAAGAGAAAAGAGGAGAGAGGAATGAATGGGAGGAAGGAAGGAACAGAAGCAGACAGAGAAGAGATGGCCACGAGCAAGAGAGAAAGATGGTCCTAGAGGGACGGGGGCGATGCAAATAAAGACAGTGATGGGGAGGAAGACAGGCAGGGGAAGACAGACAGGGAGACAAGGAAGAGAGGCATGGAGTAAAGGACAGACCAAGAGTAATCGGCACCGAGATTGACACGTGGACACACACAGAGCCACACGCACACACACACATACACACATGGACACCCCGATAGCACGCAGGAGTGCCCAGCCAGGGCGGACCTATTGCTGGGAATCAAGACCCTTGGAGTACATGTGACTTTGTCAGTTGAGCTCAGAGCTCTCCTTGAGATAAAAATAGGAGTTCCCAGTGTAAAGTTCCTCCCTCTTGCAATGCCTGCTCCCCGAGGAATCATTAAGACAATACCATCACCACCACCACAGACACAAGGTCATCATGTCTTTCTGAGAGTTCTGGGGAGCTGAGTGCGGATGATTAGAAAACCATGTCCCGGTCTGACCCCTCCTCTCAGCCCTGCTCAGCCTTTGCACGCACAGCCTCTCAGGGACACGACTTTTCATGTACAGGATCAAAGGCTACAAATAATTAATGAGCTTTTCCCCCCAAAGAGTTCCTGTGACAACAGCTCAACCTGTCAGGGATGTTATGCCTGCCTTTGATGGAGCTCAGAACCAGTTCCAGGAGAGGAAGGGCGGGTCGAGGGGAGAGGGAAGGGTGGAGGGAGGTCTGGTCAGTGCCAGGCTGAGAAAGGGTCCCTTCCAGGCAACTCTGGATCTCAGCAGGAAGGAATGCGTCCAGAGAGTCAGACCAGAGAGAGAAATGTGTGTCTCACACACACACATTTACTTTGCTTTCAGTGCTGGAAAAGGGACTTGTCCAGACACTGCTCAGCTAGACCCACTTGTAAGTGCTACAGTTCTTAGCCAAACAGCCACAGAAGCACCTCAGTTATATTTTCTGAGGGGGTCATGACATTGACCTCGATCACAGTGACTCTCCATGGTCCCCGGCGACTCAGAATCTGGGAAGAACCTTGGCATCCCTGTGGGAAACCACCTCCCAGGTACTCGTGGCTGGATGCTGGGTTCCCAGTGGGCTCACGCATCAGGACTGGCCCCAGGGACCTCTCACCGTCCTGCCGTTCTGTCTGTCAGCTGTGTGTGCGAGCTGGCTCAGCGAGACCCACACCTGGCCCTCCGGCAAATACTTCTGGTTGGGGAGGATCTTTTTTTTTTTTCTGGTAGGACTGAGGACCGCCATTGCTACTGGTGGCCTTGACCCTCTATAATAGCCATAGAGAGACAGCTGAGGATGAAGCCAAATCAGGTTAAGTGCGGAGTCAAGAGGTGGGGAAAGAATATATTCTGAGCCCTGGAATTCTCATGCTGAATGCCCTTGTCCTCATTTTCAATGCTGAGGGCCAGCACAGGCACTCCTGAAAAAGTCAGTATGAGATGGGTCCTGGCCCCTTGTGACTGAGGTCACATCACACCTGCGATGACCAGTTGTACTGTGGAAACTGGAAGCTCTTCAGAGCTTTCTCTGTTCCTGCTTTTTACCACAAGTCTCATGTCTAGTAAGTTACAAATTGCTTTCTCTGATCTCCTTTACTCACAGTGGGTGCCACTAATGCTCCATGCGAGATAGAATGGGAAACCACTGGATTCCGGTTCCAGTAGCTGGTCTGTTCTCCAAGCTCAAATCCTGGCCTTGGAGTCCCTCGCCATTCACCTGCTCCTCTCCAGGCGGGAATCACATCTCCTGACTCGGTCTGCAGGGGCTGCTGGCCATGGCCTCTTGCCATACACCAAGCACCACACCCCTTTTGCCAGATGGGTTTTCTTCCTGCTTTGCAGTCAGCTGCCTGTGGTGGGGACAGGTGCAGCCACATCTGGGAAGGTCAGCTCTTTTGACTGCCAAGAGGCCCTGAGTTGGGGGTGCATGGCTCCAGCTCAGGCAAAGCGAACTTGCCCCTATTTATGAACCATGAGCCGAGTGACCCAAGAGTGGACATGGGTCACTTCCCCTGTGAGATCCTGCAGTGCCAGCCTGCCGGGTCCCATTACCTAGAGGCTCAACAATGCCCTAGTTCCTGTGCTATCTTAGCCTTGGTCCAAGCATCTTTTCCAATTCTATAAACTCCTCAACATCACTGATCATCAGAGGACTGCAAATCAAAGCCACAATGAGATAGTATCTCACACCCATCAAAGTGGCCATCATCAAAAAGACCACGAGTAACACATTCTGGAGAGCATGTGGAGAAAAGGGAACTTTTGCACGCTGTTGGTGAGGAATATGAATTGGTGCAGCCACTATGGAGAATACTGTGGAGTTCCCGCAAAAAAAAAAAAAAAGAAATAGAACCACTATCTAGCAACTTCACACCTGGGCATATATTAAAAAAAAAAAACCACGAATTTGAAAAGCTACATCATTCTCTCCAATGTTCATAGCAGCATTATTTACAATAGCCTAGGTATGGAAGTAACCTAAGTGCCCATCAAGAGATGAACATATAAAGAAAATGTGGTGTATATATATACACACAAATACCTGTGGAATATCACTCAGCCATAAAAAGAATGAGATCCTGCTATTTGCAACAATGTGGATGGACCTACAGAATATTATGCTTAGTGAAATAAGGCAGAGAAAGACAAATACTCTGTTACCACTTATATGTAGAATCTAAAAAAGAAAACAAAGGAATGCGTATAAGAAACAGAAACAGACTCACAGACATAGAGAAAAAACTAGTGGTTACCAGCGGGGAAAAGTTCTATAAACTGTTCCTAGGATCTTCCAACAAATTGCCCTTTTGCCTGAGTCAGCCGGAGCTGGTTTTAAACAAAGAACCCCGACAGACCCATGACTTCTCCTTCCGTTCCACCTTAGTGGGGCATCTACTCCCAGATCTCTGCTTCAGCCCCTCCTCATCACAGTAACATCTCCATGCCTGCCAGAATCCTGTGTTACCCAGCAAAGGCAGTATCCTAGGCTTAGCAACATCAACCCCATTTCTGTGCATTTCCTACCCACCCTGGAGTCACCTCTTCTACCTCCAGTTGTAGAAGTGCAAACTGACAGTTAAGCCCCTCTAGAGACATCCTAAATTTGCATAACTACCTTACAGTCTGTTAAGTTACAGATTTCCTGATCTTTCTCTTTGATGTTTAAATTTTGTATTTCCTTTGTCAAATACTATGCAGAAAAAGGGGAAATAAAAGGAGAAGAGGAAAAAAAAAAGAATGGCTATTTCTGATTCACATTATTACAGGATTTGGCATTATTCTGTGCTTGTATATAGTTCATTTGCAATTTCAGCAAGTTTTGTCATAAAAATAAACCCCCGTTTGGGTTGGAAAATAACTTCTGCCAGCCTGCTCCACAGTCCTGTGGCCGACATGGAGATGGTGGCATGTTTCCAGCTGTTTCAAATCAGGAAAATAAGACACATGTTTATTTGAAGTGTGTCTAATACGTGGTTATCGGTACCTCCTATGAGAAGATTCTGTTCTGGAGGAGGAAGATTAGTAACTTCCTTTTGCAGAGACAAGCGCATGTTTGGACCTGCATGCCAATGTGTCTGCTGTGAAACATCACACCAGGGAGGGCATCTCGTCTCCACCAGCACGAGATGCACCGCAGATAATGCTCATTTAATTAAATCTCATTATGAAAATCCCTTCTTTTGAAGTACTGGACAGAGCTTAAGGAATGAAGACTAAAAATTTGAACCTTTTTTTTTTTTGGCTTGCCAATCATCAGTGGAAAACTCAACCCCAGTGGTGGTGGTTTAGTTGCTAAGTCGTGTCCAACTCTTGCGACCCCGTGGACTGTAGCCCTCCACGCTCCTCTGTCCATGGGATTCTCCAGGCAAGAATCCTGGAGTGGGTTGCCATTTCCTTCTCCAGGGGATCTTCCCGACATAGGAATCGAACCTGAGTCTCCTGCATTGCAGGCATATTCTTTTTTTTTTTAATTTATTTTTATTAGTTGGAGGCTAATTACTTTATAACATTATAGTGGTTTTTGCCATACATTGACATGAATCAGCCAGGATGGGGAACACATGCAGGCATATTCTTTACCGACTGAGCTAACTCAACCCCAGTGGTCCATTTCTAAGTACCAGGTAACATCTACTCCTTCCCCTTAGCAGTTCAGAATTCAGAGCACTTAGCCGAGAGCACCGATTTTGCATATTGAACTGCAATGTTTCCATCCTGATTCTTCCGCTACTAAGCTGGGCAGCCTTGAGCAAGTTACTGACCCTCTCTGAATTCCTAATACCCTTAACTGTACATGGAGTTGGTTAAGGGTCTGAGATGCGAGGGGCCCTGGGGGGCAGCTCCTTCCACACTGTGCTTGGCCCCGGCAGAGCCCTGGGAACCTGTGGGAACACAGCCCTGGAGCCCCTCTCCTCCCAGGCTGCTCTGCAACCAGGAACCAGGTACAGGGCCGACCTCCCTGTGTCATCGGCCTGGTCCCCGTGCCACTGGCCGCCAGCTCTTCATCACGACACAAACTTCCTGCTCAGCCAGGTCGTTAAGCAGTGTAGGTCAATGGTAACCCGGAAGGAAAAGCCACTCCGCCCGCCTCCCGCCTCTGGCAGCAGAGACCTCACCCACCTGATGGTCTGACGCTGCAGGGAGTCGGGGTCCGTGGCATTCACTGTCAGCAGCACGCTGCCCACGGAGATGTTCTCCTGCTTGGTCACCATCATGGGGTCCGGGTAGAAAACTGGGCTCTCGTTGACGTCCAGGACAGTGATGTGGACAGTGGCCGTGGAGCTGGGGCCGTAGGAGACGTCGGGCACCAGTGGGTCCTCGTTTTCCACTTTGATCAGCAGGGTGTGAAAGGCAGAAATCTCATAGTCCAGAGGCTGGAAGGCAGAGAGGGGGGCTCAGCACATGGGTCTGCCACAAAGGGTGGGAGCTTTTGCACAGAGGCCCTCTGACAGCCCTCGGGCCGTGTGGACACTCAGGGACGGATCCAGGTTCTGTGGAGTAAGAAGTTTCATGCAACTTGGGGCCCTCTTTCAGAAAAAGAGTATGAAGCATACAGATACCAAGTTAGGTATCTAACTTGGGAGTTGTTGAGGGTTTTAGATTGAGAAATAACCAAAGCGATTACATGCGTCTCAGAGATCTGGGTCCCTAAATTCCCTGATGATGCTGACATTAAAAGCCTTTCCACTTGTAGCCTGTGACCCCAAACTCCAGCATGCCTGCGGGCTTCAGTGGGTGCATGTTATTCTAGTAGAGTGTCATGCAGGCATGACATTTGTCCCCATTACTCGGTGGCTTTATTGCCATTTTCTGGGCAGGGGGAAGCGATGCCAGATACACGGCCATGCCTGGGACAGACCCACACAGGGCAGCTGTGAGCAGCCCTGCTGAGGCCCTTTCCAGGTGATCGTGCAAAAGGGCTGCTGGTGACTACCCCCTCAGCTGCTGGGTAGACTAACATCAGAGGACATTAGAGACCCACTGTAGACATTATTAATGTGGTGCCCTGCCCACCATAAAATACCACAGACCACATCCACTCTGCCACTTTCCTTCCAAACCATGAGCTGCAGTGAGGGTGACATTTCCTGTTGATGGGAGTGTGTGTGGGGAGACATTTAGGTGAGACAAAGACACAATCTTTATTTCAGTGTTTACCAGGAAAATGAGTAGCTAACTCATAAGACCCAAGATGTAATGGATATTCCTGCTGGGAGGACGAGACTAAAGTGAGAGCAGGGAGGTGATTCACACTCAACCAGAAGGAAGGGGATGGCAGTGCAGGCTGTAAGGGATCTGGGAACGTGAGGTGGGGGGTGAGGACAGAAAGAGCTCTGTGGGCGCAGGAGGTAGAAGGTGGAATCAGAGAGGATGAGTAGGAGGAGCTTTAGGCAGAATTACATTAACTTCCATAATAATTACAGCTAACATGCATGCAGCCCACCCCACACCTGCGAAAGGGCACAGATGCACATGTGTGCACACATGCACGGGCACACACACACACACAAAGTGCTGACCTGGAAATACTTCCTGGTAGTAATAGGACTGCCCCTCCCGCCCCCACCTAGAACTCCTCCCAACAGGGTCAGTATTAGGGTGTTAAGCCCTAACAGATAAAAAGCTGTTGGTACCCAGGAGCTATACTGTGGTTCGCTCCCTGGAACACAAGGATAATTTACCACTACATCCTCCTTTCTGATAACAGATCTCGGTCCTTCCCCAGTGGAGCCCCAAATATGCAAGCCCATGAAGGACTCTGCATTTTGGCTAGTGTTCCAGTGACTCGTGTAGATGCTGACACTTCAGACTCACAGCATGGTGGGTCGGAAGGGGACTGGAGGACACTATGCTCCAGTCCAGCTTTGCTTGTATTTTATTTTCCTCAAGCCACAGCAAACACAGGCTGGGAGAACTGTGCTCCTGTAGGGTTTATGTGGGGATGTCTATTTACCCAAGTTTTGTCTTACTGTTGCAGGTCTGGAAAACTGCCTGCCACCTTTTATGGACACTGGATGAGACGCAGACAACAGCCAGAGGCTGTGTTATTTTACGGTTTTCACGACTTTGAAACTACAGCGCTGAGCGTAGGAGGGCAGTGTCAGGATCTCCTGGGAGTCCTGACGAGGGAAGAGGAGTTGGGAACTTGCAGAGCTGCTCTTTGCAGGCAGATGATTAGGGTTCAGTTTGGAAGAAGTTCTGAAAAGGCCAGGCTTGAGAGAAACCCAGAGCCCTTGTCCTCCCAACTAAGTGGGAAGCATCTCTAAAATCTGACATTCTTAGTGGTTCTGGTCCTACTCCCAGCGGCATTATGGAACTTTGCTGATGCAAATGTTTATATAGCCTGGCTACATAGCCCACCCCTAATATGTCCATGTTCTAATCCTTGGAACGTGTGACTGTTATCTTACATGGCAAAAGGGACTTTACAGATGTGATTAAACTTCAGACCTTAACTGGGGACAGAATCCTGGATTACCCAGGTGGGCTCAACGGAACCATAGGGATCCTTGAAAGAGGGAAGCAGGAAAGTCAAAGGAAGGAGCAAATGTGGTGATGGAAGCCACATCTGTGGGCTCAGAGTCAGAGAGGAAGATGCTGGGGTACTGTTCTGAAGATGCTGGAAGGGGCCACGAGCCAAGGAATGCAGGCGAGCTCCAGAAGCTGGAAAGGGTGAGGACACATCAATTCCACTTCCCCTGTCTGCCCCTGGAGCCTCCAGCAGGAGCCAGCTACACCACCTGCAGCCCCATGAACCTGATTTTGGACTTTGAGCCTCCATATCGGTGGTCGCTGTCACAGCCACTGGAAACACACACAGGCACCAAGTGCCCATCGCGTGTGAGCTGGCGACTTTCTCACAACAGCCTGGAGAGGTGGGCGGTCCCGGCACCCCCGTTTCACAGACGACGAAACAGGCACAGAGAACAGTTAGCATCTCAGCCGAGGGCACACCGGGGGTAGGGAGCAGCGTTCCTGCTTTGCCTACTCACATGGCTGCCATAAATACAGCTGCTGCCTGCTTCCCAGGCAAACTGCTTCAGCCCACAAAAAAGAGACTGTATTCCACAGATGTCCTGGTCTGGCCGCAGCTCTCCCAGAACCTCCCAGACCCCTTCCTCCAGGACAGGGGGACCACCAGCCACTCATGGTCTGCTGCCACCCCTCCCTCCCACATTGCTAAGCCCTCCCTTTCCACTGTGGTCCCACTTCCTTCTTGGACTCCCTGCAGCAGAGAGCGGTCAGCGTGCAGGGCCACGTGCTCACAGGCAGTTTCACACTGAGGATCAGCCTGTGTGTGTAACTATCTGCTGTGTTTAAGAGAGTAATCCAGACTCTGCTAAGAAAGACTGAGAGGAAATGTGATAATCCACAATTTGAGTATGGATCCTTAGAAAACCTTCACAGGTCCCATTTTTGCATATGTTTGATAACTAACTATCAAATGTCTGGAGAATGTGTTTTAAGGTTCCACACACGTGGAACAGGCTGGTTTTAAGGCTGTGAGGGTAAAAGCACTCCCTCAAGCAGGAGACTTTCTCTACTTTAGTCCTGGGAGGGGGAGACTGGGGCTGATTTATCCTCAGCCGGGGGCCCTGGGTGCTCAGGCAAGGAAGAAGGAGCACTGGAGGCACCCTTACTTTGACGACGGAGAGCATCCCCTCGTTGGTCTCTGGGTTGGTATGGATCTCGAAGCTCTGCCCCGGGTTCCCATTGATGATGGTGTAGGCGGCCCTCCATGCACCCGTGGCGGGGTCGTCCTTGTCCTCAACTGTCAAGTTGACAATAACTCCCACGGCTCCTTCCTCGACTGTGGCTTGAAACTGTAAACAGACAAAGCAGACCATAACTGTCACTGTTTTGGGAAAACAACAACGACACAGCGAAGACCATCGATGGCGCTCTTAGGACATGCTTGGTATGGGGCACGTTACCCCTAGCATCTCTTTAAACAATAAAGCAAAACAGAGCAAGACCATGATGTGGTGCTCTGCCAGTAGATGACAGGCTTTGGGTTCTGGCAGCCTTACGTGGGGCCGTGAGGCTGAATGCTCATCAGAGGATGTTGGCCAAGGCTGGCCTGGGCTCACTGGAGGTGAGGGTTGGGAGAAGAGCTGTGCCTTCTCTGGGCTCCCTTCCTTCTCTCCACCTGGATGCAGATGACCACAAGGCTCAAGAGGAAGGTGGAGCCAAAGAAGGGATGGCGCTAGGGTCCCTGAGGCACCATGAGGAGGTGGACGGAAGCCCGTCCTGAACTGCTGTTGAGTGAGACCTGGACTTGGATTGAGTTTGAGCCTTTATGTATTTGTTCTTGCAACTCTGTTACTGAATGTGAGTCTGTGTGTCCAATGCATAGTGAGGCCAAACAACATCAAAATGTCAGAGGCTGGAGCAGAGACACGTTTATTGAGGGCCCTGCAAGGAGATGGGTGGCTCATGCCTTAAAAAACTGCAAACTCCTGGAAAGCTGTCAGCAAAACCCTTTTCTAGGAAAGGTGCAAGAGGGGCATGGGTAGTTGTGGCAAATGTCTTGCTGTCAGATCCTTTGCTCTTGAGGTCAGGTGTTCCTGTAAACCTCCACCAAAACAAATGTTATTCTATGTTCTGACAAGTAAGGGCAAGGTCTGAAGGCTCAACTTTCACCCTCTGAGGTCTGGGGCCTGGGTTAGAGGAGGGGATCCCTCTGAGGAACAGTTACCCCCCATACCTTCATCCAGCACCAAGCACAGGTCCTCCCACCAGCACCCAGGCCTAGCTGAAGAGGCAGATCTCAGTTGGCGTCTCCCTCAGGGCCTGGTTCTCAGACCCTGCCTGGCTGTCATCACGGGGGCAGCCAGGAGCCCAGGACCCAGCTAGCCCTCAGGGTCCTCAGGCCGCCCAAATACAGTGGGGGGAGGGGCGGGTCCTGGGGACCCACGCAGACAGATGGCTGCCGCCATTAGGTACTGGAGAAGGGGATGGGAAAGAGGTTCCCGCTGCCTCAAAGCCTGGGCCTGGCCAGTGGGTGGCTGTGGCGAGGGCTCTGGAGCCCTGCAGAACACGGCCCCCAGCTTGTCCCCCGGGACCCCCAGCTCACCGCCAGCCAAGGCCAGGGAAGGCCCTGGGGAGAAGGCTGCTCATGCTCTCCCTCGGAGGACACCATCCGGCCAACAGTTGGCCCAGCGGGACCTCTAAGGCCATGCTAAGGGCCTTGTGCTCACCCTCAGAGCTTAAGGTCTCATGGTAAGTTGCACAGAAATGACTGCACGGCTGCCTCTCTCCTCGTACAGCCCCAACCACCCTGAGGACAGGTGACCAGATAACAGAGCGCTCTTGCTCATACGCGGAAGGGCTGGCATTGAAGCCCTAGAGTTTGACTCCGGAGAATGATTGTACCATCTTCCCTAATGAAGGGAGCCAGCTTCATCCTTCCCACCCCTGGCCCAACCTAGCAGGACTTTAGAAAAGCATTTTCTAAGGAAACACATAAATCAATTGTTTGGAGCTTTGTTGTAACTATGTTTTTATTGTAATACATCTCAAATGTTTGTTGCAAGTAGGTATGGTGAAAAAATAAATCAATAAATGAAAAATCAGCTTTCCCATAGACTGCGTTTCACAAGCCATCATTATTAGCACATTCCTTTGAGCTGGAAGCATAAAGTATTGTTTTTGTGCTTACCTCCGATACACTACAGGTGAATAGTAATCCGTTTGCAAATATTTTATAAGCAAGTAATACCAATAAGCTGACAAGAAGAAGAAGAAATATCCTGGAATTTCAATTAGTAGGAAAGAGAACCTAAAGACAGTAAGACAATGTCAGAAGGCTCTGATGTTCAAAGAGAAGTAATTTGAGAAATGAAGTCCCGAAAGCGGTGGCTGATTAATTGACTTGCAAATCATTAATCAAAAGCTGTAATCTTGATGGCTTGGGAGAGACAGGCTGGGGATGGGAACTCATTCGTCTCTCACACCTCGGTGAACCTGGGTAGGTTGTCTCCCTTCCCTACAAGCGGTGCTGGGAAATTCTTAGAACACACACACCGGATGGAGAAGAGCTGGAGTGAAGGGGATGTGGAGGGTGCTGTCACACAGAAATAGCTCCAGGAGACAATGATTTTGACCGGATTCCTCTGAGTCTTGTTTATAAGTTAGTGTTGACTTCTATCTTCCCTGCATTCTCAGAAAAATTATGAAGTTCCAGAGCTTGAAATCAGACTGGTGGTTCATAGTCCTGTTAGAGTCTCTTTGAGGGCTTTTTAAAAACACTTCTTTTTCTTTTTTAACTAACCTTATTCCAATTTAGTTGGTCTGGGGCAAGCCTGGGATTCAGTATTTTCTTGACCTGCACAGATAATTCTATTGATAATATGCAGTTTGGGTGGAGAAGCAAGACAGTTCAAGGCCAAGGATGACCGAGGTGAGGACGTGAGAATTCACCCTGTGTACTGCAAGGCTGCCTGGGTGCCGTGTTGAGTGGCCGGCAGCGCATCTGGGGACAGCAGGAAGGAGTGCTGTGATCGACTACTGCTGTCTGCTCTGTGCCTGGGAGCAGAACATGGCAGCACATGTGCTACCTGACCCTGCAGGTTGCAGAGGAAGAAGCGGGCTCAGAGAAGGAAGGAACAGCGTGGTCCAAAGTCACCGCGTGAGCTGCAGGTCACATCCAGATCTGGACTGCAGTAACGTCTGCTTTCCACCAGTTGTTACTCACGCCCACGCAAGATCCCCATTGCCTGTCCCAGCCTACCGAGGGTCATTAGGGAAGGATTCCCTGAGAACTGAAGGAAGACGAGAAGTTAGTGAGGTGAAAGGTGAGAGTCTTCTTGGATCTGGAACGGCAGGTGCAGAGGCCAGTGGTGGAGGGAGCACGGGGCAGAGGGGAGGTGTGTGTGGCTGGAGAGAACCCTCTGCTCTTGGACTATGGAGGAGGAGACAGTCAGATGATGCAGAGCCTTGTGGGCCAGGGAAAGGTGTTTAGAGTTTACCCTGAGAGCAAAGTGAGGTCTAATCAAGGAACTGGAATATGTTTAAATCAACTCCTGAGAGAACTCAGAAAGAAAAATCTTTAAATATAGAAAACATTCAATACAATTATTATAGTCTCTATTAAGACCATTATCTGATTCTTGCATAAACTATAAAGCCAGTTTCCTTAAGCATCCATTTAGAAACTCATTACTGCTTAATTAAATACTCATTCTATTAATTCTATTCAATGTTTTAACCCCATTATGTAATTCAGAATGGAAAATTAGATAGATTAAAACGAAATAGTACCATTTTATATTTCTAGAGCAATGCTCACTTTGTGATTTAAAAACAATAGACAGACATTAATTTACCATACCAGAGCAGGAGGAATTATTGATTATAACATTACTTCGTTTAATTGGAAAAAATAGATAAAGTTACTTTCTGTTAAATTGTGCTGTAAATCAAGTACGAGATGTGAAACATGTTTTCACACAGTGTGGGAGACTGGCTTGGGACATACTGAGTTTCATGAGCTCTGTCTTGCAATTCAGAGCTGAGTTATTTCATTTTCTTTTCTCTGATACGGTGAGGTGAGTTCTGTGATGGACACTTAGGAAGAGACCACCTAGACTTGCCACAAAGGTCATTCATCACCAGGGGACGAGGGACTTGCATTTTAATTTACACTGAGAATGTACGTTCTTCCTCATAGGGCAAAGAGTTGCTTGTTAAGGTTAACTGGAAGATGGAAATGCTGGTCAGCAGACAAGAATGCCACATGTGGGGAGAAGTGACAGCTCATGACTTTAAGGGACAGGACACCAGCAGGCCTGCTTGCTTGATTGCTGGAGTCCAGGTTCATGAGCTGCCAACCCTGCGGTTTCATGGAGAACTGATGCTGAACTTGAAAGGACGGGATATAGTTGGCTGGGCCCTGGCTTTGAGAAAATTAAAAGATAAGGTCCTAGAAAGTTTTACACACTTAAGTTTCTATTTGTGAGGATAAAAGGGTGATGGAGACATCATTAGAAACTGAGCTTGGGAACTCTTTTATGAGTCTGTATTTACATGAAGGATGCAGCTTGTTGGAAAAAATCTAATATCTGGCTGATAACCTAATGGGTAGAAACCACAATTGCTGTAAATAAGATCATATGTTTAAGGATCTTGGCACAGTGCCTGGCATAGAGTAAGGAATCGATATTTGTTAGCAGTGGTGATGATGATCAATCTCATTCTGTCTCATATCAAATTCTTACTAGTGAACTGGAGAATAAGGCTCAAAGTCCTGTGACTCTTTCTCTTCTTATCACAGTCTGCCTTCCAAAGTGGTTGTTTTGTCTACACAAAACAACCTGGATGGGTGTGGAAGAAGCTCTTTGCTTTTCAGTCTTATAGACCTGACCCTCACACATTTGCTTATCCTTGTCCTGCTGTTTAGCACCAAGGCAAATGATGTTAACTTTTCGCACCCACATTTAGAAGGGACAGCTGCACCAGATATCTGGTTTCCTTCTAACTGTAATTAGGATTCATCTTGGGACAGAAAGATGCAAGACCTTGCTTAAATAAGTAGTCATTAAATGTCTACTGAATGTCAGGGAGTCTGCCAGGCACAGGATGGACAGCAGTCAATGAGAGGGACACCATTCTCTCTCCCCTCAGGGGCTTATAGCTCAGGAGACTGACACATTCTCTCCTGGTCACCCCCTTTCTTTACATATGCTGCTCACCCATGGCATATCCAAACAGTTAGATTTCTACCATTTCTCCACTGTCATACATCCCAGATTGCACCTGTGGCCAATTATGGATGCATCTGTGTTTGGACATGATTTAGTTTCCAGCTAGTGGTCATGTTAAT